TGAAGGGTTCGGGGGACCCTTGGGCGACTTGGAGTAATGCAGGCGTTTGCAGGAGTCACATTTTAAGCGAACACCCAGGTTGCTGATTTGGCTTGCAGTGAAGTTCCATGTAGATCCCTGAGTCGAAATTTCTGCACGCTCGTTCTTATTGAAGCTTATTTTATAATCACTATTTACTTAACCACTTTTGCCAGCCTTTCATACCACTGAGACAATGCAATAACGGTCATAACTGATGGGACGGTATTACTTTACACCTACAACGAACATGAGTTTGGTCTGCTGTTGAACAGCCCAAAAACATCTGGTTTGTTGTTCCCGCACTTAACACGGAAATAAGTGGAACAGTTAGAAGATGAAAGACTTATTTTAAACACCTACTGCATGTTCTACAGGTGTCTTTACGCACTGCGGCTGAGCTACTAGCACCCATCAGGTCACGTGAACTTGTTGCTGACGCTTAGTTCAACCATGTACCGTAAATGGATTGTTCGTGCCCTAAGATGTGTATGCTGATTGCCGGATGCAGCAAGCATTCCCCTCACGGTTGTATGCCCACACTCACAAGTAGACGCGACGTGTATTGAACAGCTCGCATTCCACGACAATGTAAACAGGGTGTTGAAAAGCATTAGCTTCACGGCGATGTTTCGTGTAGAAAAGAAGCGGAACATCTACTAGCTTTGTTATACTGCAGTCTGCATGGATGGTTGTGAGGTCGTTTAAGAGTCCTCAGCTTCTTTCTCCGAGTAAAAACAAAATTATTCCTGCATAGCTCAGGAATGATGTAATTAACCATTTAACGACAAGGCATATGCCGAAATTGGGAACTGCAGCAGCAGTATGCTCCAGACAGGTTAGCTCCAAGGGTCGGGAAGCACTGACTAGAGCCCTTCGAAATGGCTCGAATGATGGTACACACGAGAATGCGTGACGAGGTTTGGAATGGCGACAATGGGTGAAACATGAGCCGAAACAAACTGAGGACATTGCTCTGTTCTCACACTATGACGCAATATAACATCCCGTATACATATCCAACTAACACAGTCACATGGATGCACATCAACATAGTGCCAGAATCCGATTCCGGATCTACGTATCGCTGCAGCCTCTATGTGGACAGCCGCAAGACCCCTGTGTCTATAGAGAGACCAAAGATGGTTTACGCTATACAACCCACAGCTCTAGCTACACACTACATGTTCGGTATAAACAAGCAGGAATATGACCAGGAAGCTCGCTGATGGGAGCCACGGTTCATCAACGGAGCGGGCCCATACCCCTTTAACAAGCCGCGCGGAAGCATTCGTTCCTAAATGAGAATCCAAGTGTACTAGAGATACACAAAGCTGCGTCTGGAAAGTAGCCCCTTCCACATTTGATGCACTAAACAACTCCTTGAGTTCAACACGGTCATGAGGACAATACCTGCCACGATTAACAGTCTCCTGGAGCCAGTAATCGAGACAGATGGTATTAGACGTGCAGGCACCTTGTCAACATTCAACACAGGAGCAGCCACACCGGAAATGTCGTTCAACCCCCAACACTTGAAATTCAAGAACCCAACAGGCTTGCATACGTACAGACCAAATGCGGCGATGATGTTACACACGCGACGGATGTACCGCATTAGAAGCTTGATTTACTAAATGGAATCGGGAGAGGCGTACTTACCAAGCGCTACGCTGAGGATGCATCACAGTTTAAGTTGCTGGTTATTTCTTCGATATTCGCAAATTGTGGCCGCGGTGGTCGATTACCCAACCGGCTTGGCTGAGGTACTCGCGGCAGCACGAATTACAGAAGTATACGCTCGACTTCGATCACAATGCTCTTCTGGTGCCTGTCGCTTCCACAACCGATGTTTCTCTTCCGCAAGCAATAGTACATTCTTATGCACCTGGGCAATCTCCCGCTTGATAAGGTTACGTAATTGGGACTGATCAAATGTCTTTGCTTCCCAACAGCGAAAATCGATACTGCTTCGTAATAAATTGGCACTGATCATTGCTTGGTTCCTGCAGCTTTACTCTAAAGGCGTTCTACTTACATACCCAAAGTTGTTTGTATAGCTGTTCCTTGTGTAGTGCATCGAATCCATACGGTTGAGATATTCGAGCTGCCCCAGGTGCAACATTAGAAGTACGCAGTCCACTGAATACAAGCCACTGCGGCGCGGCACTTCCGTGTCTGCAACTCTAACTCGTGAATCGATGCGCAGAATGTGACACAGGCATTGTTAGCGAAAGTGTTCTAAATAACGGACGTCCTTCCGGTACAGCATGAACATTTCGCTGCCGTTGACAAGAGCCGACAGAACTACCGACCGGTAAACCGATAGCTTCCACTAACCGGTAACCTGGTACTTGTGTCACAGCAAACATTCCAGCTTTCCAAATACAGCGGCAGCTTTGCTACGCGCATACGCAGCTTGCTTATCATCGACAAGACAGTAGGAAGTACGCTCTTATGGTTGCAAGCTAAACAATTCCGTTCCACACGAATGATGGAAACGAACGTCCTGTTTGTGTTAATGAGGAACCCGAACTTGACCATTGTAAAAGCGGGAGCCGACGTCACACGCTGCAACTCATCCGGCCTGTGTGCAAACAACGCACAGTACTCCGTAAACAGCAATATACGAAAGATTGTCTCACACACTAAATAAATAAATAAATGTTTTATTCTCGACAATACTAGACACACCTGCAAAGGCATGCTCATGGTAATACCAACACTAGGGACTAGTAAGTGTAAATGACGGTAAAAGTATATCAGTAGCGTGTGGATACATGTGATAAGTGTGTTTGAATGTACGAAGGTAAGAATGTGCGTAGCTGACTTGTCTGAATTTGTATATGTGACGCCGTACTTGTGATTGGTTTCCGTCAGATCGTCAGCTTGAGTAGGGGTGAAATGAAGTCTTCTTATTAGAAGACTGTGGATTGGGTAAGGTCATCCAGATACGTAAAAGGCAGTGACTTTAGTTAGTGGAGAATCATATTCGCCACGTCGCAGAGTTGCTAAACAGATAAGTGTGGCTTTTTATAGGGTGAATTCATACCAGGCGGAAACCCACCACGTTCTGGAACACTGCCGTGGAATACTTCGCTGGAATGAACACACCTTGAACCACCCAGCTAGCACCACGGGTGGTTGTTCAGTGACGGATGTACGTCAAGCCACCATTAATACGATGCCCCACAAGGACACCCTAATCACAATTGCTGTCAAAAGCACTTGACATCTCTGCATAAAGGTAAGTGCCAAGACACAGTATGGCTTTACATCACAGACAACAGCAAAGTTATCCGAGGTCTATCCAATCAGCTATACTCTCACCGGCATACAAATGTGCAGACACTCAATTAAACTTGAAAAATTACTCTGACAACCAAATGTGCCCAATACCAGCCGCAGCGCCTCGCGATTCGCTGTATTAAATGTCTCGATGAAGTCGATAAACAGCGAGTATGATAGTTACTGTCGCTCTTTGCATTTCTTCTGTAACCGACGAACAGAGAACACAATATATATGGTGATGGGCTCGAACGGAATCCACATTGCTCTTCTGCCATGTTTGGATCAACGACCTGCTTGGCTAGGCGGTTGAGCAGTACTCGTGCGATCAAATTCCTCAGAAAGCTCAGCTAGTTGATGCCACGAACTTCGTGGCACATCTAGTGCGCCCATTACCTTTGTACAGCGGTAGCACATGGGCATTAATCAAATCAGTTGGCATTTCTTAAAACTACATGCTTCGCACCAAGTGGAGTAGCGCATTTAACAACACGGTTCCGGTATATTTCTATACATCTAGCGGCATCACGTCGGCACCAGCACACTTGCGGTTTCGCAGCGGAGAACAAGAGCAAGTTGCGTCTCAAGCACCATTCGTGTGCCGGCAAGACACCTTAACAGCCATGCAACACAGCCCGGTCAATCTGCAAGGCTGTTCAACAGAGTTAAGATTGGGAGGATCCTGTGATAAGAATCTGAGCCTGACACGATTGTCACTGGCATGGTTTGAGCACGCCTAAGATAATGGCTTGGAACGCTGATCGATCGAACGGATTTGCGCTGACCTGATGACGTAAAGTTAGCTCGGGGTAATCGCTGGCAAGTCTGAAATAGCACTAGCGTAAGAACGTTCCTAGCCACAGGTATTCGGGTAGAGGCTGAACCTTCGTAACGGACGATGCTACGCACACGAGAGGGGGTGACGGTGGACGCGCGCTAGCGGCTTGGACGAGAACGCTGCCCGGCTATCGACGCACAAAAATTCACGTGACCGAACCGACTCCCAACTGACGGCGAAGAGAAAGCAAGACAACTGGTCCTCTGAAGGCTCTTTTATGACCAACAAATGGCGAATCACAGCCAAAACTATGTGTCACTAAGTTAGTGAAAGTAGCTACGGCGACAGGGTAGCAGTTTGTAAAAGAACATTGTCAACATGTACTCAGTTTGGCCGCGTCTCGGAGTGGCTGAAATCTTCCATGTTGGGGAGAGGAATTGAACTCCGCTTTCCACAGCAATTACGCCGGAGATTGTGGAGCGTGTTTGCGAAGATATTTGACGGATCCGCAATAAACATGTATTCGAAGTTCGTCTGCTAGATCTGTATTATATTTGTTACTGAGAGACATGTGAATTATTGCACCGATTGCGATCATTCGTTGTTAATTTTACTCTGATAATGCTTGTGCAGTAATTACATACCTATTCATTAATAGAACGTGACTGCAGACTCCGCTACTGGAAGTTGCTTAAACGCTTGCGATGTGGAATTGAAAAGGTATATTGCTGCATGATGCAATGCTCTGTCCTCCTCCGCAATGACAAAATAATCGAGCAAGCAAGACCCCCAAACTAGACACCATCTCTCAGTTACCGAAGTGAGCATGAACCCAAGATTATGCCCAAGCGCCCGATCATCTTGTGGATAACAACAGTAGAGAAAAGTCTTGGGTGGAATTACAGATATACATTTCTCAACCGGACTTGAACAGTAGCACCGCAACTGGACCGAGGTACAAATAAATGAAGTTGTTTGTTTCATGTGTGACGTAGCTGCAATGCAAAGTGAAAATAAGTGAAATTAGCTGCTTGTTCAGGTGTCATGGCGTTGTTCACAATGAAGAGACGACGCACAACCTGACCACGCGAGATGGAGTTTAAATGCACCACAAATTCAAACCTCCAGCTTCCTAACTTTAAGCACCCAGAGGCTAATTATTCGATAATATACTATTAGCCTAAAACGATCTCCAATGTCACAATTAGCAGCACGATGAGAACAAATGCACCAGAATTGAACGCGGTGTACAAATAATGAGGTGCAAATTATTGGATTGGAATCTTTCGTACCACTGCTGCTGCACTCATTACAAAACGACGTGAAACAGCACACAGACGTACCTGCCAAAATTCCGTCCCACAATGCAGTGCCACGTCGGGTTGTAGCGTTTGTCAAACTCTTTCTTGATATGCGCAGCTACATCCTTCTCCACGCTGTAATTCTTTATGGCTTCAGTGCAACAGTTCACCGCCTCCCGCTGCATCTCCTCACTCATATCGGTGTTTTTGATCACTGCCTTTGTGTCAGCCATGATTTCCTTTTGCTATTGATCTACTTCTGTTGTTATCACGATCGTGGCTGATTGCAATCCGTAGGATGAGTTTGCTTTTAAAGGCTTCGTGCTTGATGGGTAGTGCGTGAGTCTGCAGCGCCCACAGTAGCTTCACTTCATCTGGTAGGCTCTTGAGATGAGAAGTGACCGTAGTGTGCTTCACGTGCTTATGTAGACACAGCACTTGTTAGTATGGATTATAACCCTAAGTAGGGTGTTAGTGTGCACACCGTAATCGTTGTCGATTTTTGATTTCATTAGCCGTTGGTTGGATGTTGAACGGCAACGCGACGATGTACCGTCGCGATGACCCAGCGCATATAACGCGTTTCAAACGATTCCTTATGGTGTCGTATTCATGTAGACCTAGCTGATATTTGAATCTAACCAAGTGGGGCGAAATCTGTCAATCGATTGAACCCCGGGTTGTGATGCAACGGGAATGCCTGAGTTATACTCTTCTCACTTATGTGTTGTGTTGTGTGCTTTCCTCGATCGATAAAATAGCATACTGTCATTTAAGTTGCTGAGGCTTCGCTCCATAGCTACGTCGAGCGGCATGCCTCTATTGTTCACACGTGTTCAGGTTTGCTTGAAGAGTTTTTGGCTAGACATGCAAATTATAACACCTAATTTAGTCGGTTTCCCGAAAAGTTCTCCACCATCTTTTAGCTGAGTTTAAAGAGTAAATCTAATGAAAGGTTTTCTGTTGAGTAAAGGCTATTGCGCTGCTGACGAAATGTTGTAGTTTACTAGCCACAGCTTCGCTTAAAATTCTGTTTACGTCTGATGTGTCGTTTGCAACCGACGTTTTTGTGTCTTGCGTTTTAGCCTTTTCACGACTTAACACTCTAAAAAATAGTAAATGTGAATTTTTCTTTACTGTAATAACTCAGTTTCAGCCACTTGGGCTTCGCCTACTTTACGAAGATTGACCGGATCGTAAACTGACAGGTTCCGTTGTGGTTGCTTACGCTCAAGGTAGAAGGATATCGCGTCCACATTCATCCATTCTACTACTCTGGACATTTCCATGTGTCGCTTGTCAGCGGGTAATGCAGCAGCTGTGTTTCTACCTGTACCCCATCCAAATTCACAAAATGTTTTTTTTTAAATTCAACCCAGATACTTTTAAATAAATAATTTCACAGCATTCTAACGCACTAACTATCCATGGTTTGCTATGTTCGTTTGCCCAAAACCCGTCTAATGCTGATTTGCGATCCCCCGATGTGTAGATAGTTTTAGCAAGGGCTCCGATAGCACTTACAATAGTCCTAAATGACACAAGGACAGTTTTTCATTTTTCAATAAAGGATCCTTGTACACAAATCGACTCTGACGAGGTGTTTTACTAGCTAGACGAAACGTAATGTTGCAGCACGCATTGCGTTTACTCAGCGGAATCGAGCCGAGGCTTTGTGTTAGTACCGGTGTTCGGTTCAGCGTATCGGTCGATCACCTGTGTGCCGTAAGATAATGAATTTGGTTGTAATGTTACCCGAGGAACTGAAACAAAACGATGAACTCCCAAAACAGCTACAAGCTTAAGGTGTTTGCATTTAATAACCCTTTTTTCCGAAACATTTTATGGATAGTTTGACCAGCTAGTTATCCAAACGGTAAAATTTCGGATATACTATTAACACAGACACGCAGTCTTTGGTCCTATTCCGTCGAGTCCTCAACATTCTCGACGTCTTCCTCTATTACTGACTTGAAAGGTCAACATGAATAATCATCAGCCTGGATAGCAATTTCGGTCTTATGAATTGCTATTATACCATCCCAGGATACTACAACTGATTACCACTCTTTACCATATGCTTCCGAAAAGAGGTTGCAAGGCCCTGCCTCTGAATGTTCAAGTTTCATAAGCATTTTGATGTTTACGCGCTGATGACATTCCGTGTCCGACATGCGAAGGCAAACTGGATCAATACGAATTCGTTCTACCTCTGTGTAAATGCGGTTGATTTAGCCAACCTATTGTTACTTGCCAAAGGACGCAAAAACTGTCCGGCGTGGGGCTCACTGACGGCGAAAAACGACAGCAGTAATCCCCTTGCTATTGTGAGCAACTTCGGAATTTTCTGTTAGACTTTGTGCATCCACACCGCAACGCTCTGAATACTTTCCAATACTTTTCCAATGCCTTCCAGTGGCGCGCCAATCTGCTAAATACACGCGCGCGGATGATCTCACCTCGAGTGGTGCTGAAACGTTTGCAGTCAACCTGCCGAGTTCAGAGAACACCCAGACCACCAACTGAACAACTTGAGCTACCAACATTTGCTTCCGTATCGCACTTTCCAATGCGCTTTGTTAATGCATCATGACCAACATTTGAATTTCATTCCACATTATCGCTTTCCGCTGTTAGGACATGTGTAACCAAATTAAAGCAAATACCATCGGTTCCAGCTGCAACTTCCACGCATTTTCATTTTCTATTCTATAAGAAGGGTTTAGTTGATTTCCAGCTGATCTGGAGAAGTCAGGAATTATTCAGCACAGGCATGCCATGTCTATATTTTTTGTTATCATTTGCTAGCTGTTCGCCAAATTTTATACAAACTCGTGGCAGTTAGATCTGGCCGTACTCCCTTCTAGCTGACTGTTCCAAAGGATTTGCTTTAATATGTAGGTGATGCTATCGCTGCAAATCTTTTTAGTTAAATATTCTCCTATTAACTGCTATGGTACACCGAGTGTCATCACCGAATCTGAGCACCAGGAAGACCGACAACATCTGCTTTAAGTTACTTTTATTTTGCTTTTTTGTTCGGTATCTCAAGGCAGCTACAGAATATACTAGGCTTTGACAACCGCAACAGCTTTCCCTAAAAGACGGTTGGCGAATCGTGAGACCACGGGTGTCACAAGAAGATTGTACAGTGCACACAGAATTTGTCGAACAAGTTCACTAGAATAGAAAGTCATGTTCCAAATCACCACGAAACTTACACCATGTTTATTTCGAATCAACGAAACGGTGATTGCTGTTAACTGTAGACCGATTGTCCATGTCACCGCGAATTTCACTTGCCTGTCCAAAATTTAATTAGGCATCTGTCCCGTATAGGTACAATTAGGGAAGCCTTATTGTAGCAAGAAGGAAGCAGCAGGAATGCAAAATATTTACTGTGTACGCGACCACGGTTGCACAAGTTGGTATGCACGCGCGAATACATCATTCAATTTTCCTTCCTACAAAGAAGCATACTGGGAGGTTCCACATATTAACTTCATGCGTCGTTCCACCTCAAATATGTGCGCATGGGCTGCCTGGTGGACGTCGTATCTTCGCTTCTGTAACTCACATTCTGAGCTGTGTGGGATTCTTCCAAAGCACTTGGGTTACTTGATCTCTGTGCGTTATTCGGCTTACACTTACTCATGGATGCACAGGAAAAGATGTTTCTGATTTATTGGTCTCTCGGCAATTGCCTTCTCTGTTCTCCTTGGTTCAGTGTACTACGGTTCCTCACTAACTATCCGCCCTCCGACCTTTCTGTAAGGCTTGTGTCTCGACGTTCAGTCGCGTCCATGACGCCTGGCTGTTTCGGTACTTGCTAGTTTTATGGCTTTGCAGTCTTTGGCATCATCGATACCTACCGCGCCACTATATTATGATAATTTCGAATGAAGTTCTCAACCAGACCTTCTCTAGATGTACTGGAGCAGATGAATACCGACCCCATTTTGCTAAGTAGCATTTCAGCAGTAAATATGTTGCCCCAACTGTGACCACCTCATTCACTAATCATGGTATCTGTGTTTGCCCAGCTGATGAGAATTTGATAAGCACAGCTATAGCTTAAGAATGCCTGGAAGCTCCTTCAAGTTTTGCCTAAAGTCTAAATCGCACAACATTCGGATAAATGCAATAAAGCAGTAGCGCTGCCCAGTAACGCGGGCCTTCTCTATCCCTTGTCGCTTAAGCAATATCACATTGCGGATGAATTAAGTAAGAACTCGATCGCAAACTCGCTCTGGTGATTCACACGTACCACTTTCAGTGTCCCCCAACCCACTCATATGCCTATTTCGCCTTATTTCTCATACTAGAAGGTCATATGCACCTGTAACCTTCAACTCCAGAGCGATGTTAGCGCACTGCAACATTTACTAGCTAATCTATCTGCAGCTGTTTGACTTGACTCATTAGTACAGGCTGGCTTTTCGAGAATAACGTTGTGCATATTGCAGAAAACATACGAATCCAATCTGCTCGATCATTTCTTTGAGGTCTGATGTCAGTTCATTGAGTATGCTTCATCACAGACCGTCGACGGAAGTGGTGTTTACTGTGACCAGCTGCAGCAACTGTTGAAAAGGAATCGGTGGATTTTCTTGGCGATATTCTGTACTACGCACCATCTTTTTTCCCACTGCTCTGGATTATCCTACTTACTGCGCTTTATCGTTTTTCCTCACTGCCGTCCAGTTCCAAATTCACTTATATCCCCTCTATTTAGTCCCCAAGTTTTGTCCCACCCACAGCATTTTCACGTGGTCTTTTGTCTATAATTTTACTAATGCGCAATTACTGGGTTTCCTCCTGGTCCGGTAGAAGTGTAAATATCCAAGCAAGTGGACAATGAGAGTTCGTTGCCTATATTTTTGGGGTTTTCAAGCAATAGTTAGACGGATATACCACAAGGCGCACAGTTTGTTACAGAATGGTGCACGGGCAACATTTGCCCCAACATTAGAACCTAAGTCAGTAGATGTGATATAGCGCCGCTCACCATACATTGACTTGCCCGTTACTAGCTTGCGGAGGACGTGTTAGCCCCCTAACTACGTGATGTCATATCACTTCTAGTAACCTAATAACGATGGTCATTACCTTCACATGTGACTCAATTGGTTCAACCACAGACTGCCAATGGTTGAGTTGAGGGTTCGAGCCCCACAGGGGCTAGATGCAATGCGCAATGCTGCCGATTCTAGCAAGGATCAAACGACCGTACAGGGATTTTTCGGGCGTGTAATGGCTGTTAAAATTCTTCTGGAAAATAAATATCATCATCAGCACACGTTAGTTTAAGGTGTGATACACACCACAGTTAATGTGTCGCAATACAAAAAGATAAGAGACTAAAAAAATACACTAAAAAATATGATGTTACATATTATAGTATGCGTTTCGCATGATATCGGGATTGGAGAGGAAACCTAAAGGGAGGGGATAGACTA